CAAGTCATCCTTGTCCACATGCCTCCCTGTATCTCTCCTCCAGCGCCCTGACCTTTATCTTCAGCTAAATCTTATTTGCCTTCAGGACTTTATAGGGTTTTCCACTTGTTCATAATCTATTTGCAGTGTCCTACAGACTTTTCATTGCTATGACATTTGACAAAAAACTTAATGGTAAGATATTTCAGTCCCTATATTCATTTGCGGCCGACTTTGAGTGAATCCTTTTGGAAGCACTGGGTAGACGGATTGTGAGCAGCTTTGCTCCAGGGACGTTTTCCCCATAGTTCAAGGAGATTACCTTTTTGGATCTGTGCTCCATTAAGCAGCTCCTCAAATCATAAAAATACTTCCACGAAAAAAACTTTGTGGAGTTGCTATTGTTTACTGTCCACTAAAAGGGGAAGTCTAATGGAACACACAACAGACGATGAATCACCAGTGTTTCCTTTTTCTCTTCAAATGACATGATGACTTTTTCTTCCTCAGCAGAGAGGCACTGACGTAGTCACACAAACACAAAGTACAAAAAACTGGTTTGAGTTGAACGTATACAAAGTGAAACCTGCCGTCAGCAGTTCATATGTTTTCCCACTGGATATGAGGTCCTTGTACGGTACATTATGCGCCCCAGACATTTGTTTTCCAGTTTTGTCTTGTAACTTCCGGTTGCTATCACAGGCTTTAGTAAATGCAAATCAAGTGTTTTGTAGTTTGATGTTTCTATGGTGTCAATTTTAACTCTAACTTTTAACTAGGTTATTAAGTTATTAATGTTATTTCTAAACTGGCTTTGCTTTGTTAGTCTGGAAGCTGGTTTATAAACATAACTTTTCAAATCTCGAAAGTTAATCTTTTCTTCAAATATAATGTGCTCTCAATAATGTAGACAGTGCAGCACCGCCTTTTAACTGTGACCTCAGTAATAAGCATATAATTGAATTCACACATTTGTAACAATATCACCAAAACTGAAAAATATGAAAAAGGTAAAAATGTTATGGCAGGGCTGCTGTACTGGTTTACATTAGATTGTACAGGTGTACCTAATAAGTTGGCCACATTAGAAAACCACAAATACCAAAACATTCTGTCTAGTGTCCAGTATCATTATTGTACTCAGTGATTGCATTGATTATTGACTCTATGTCTAAAAGTATCACTTACATATTTCTTTTGTTTCATGGCTGAAGTGGTTAATGAATCCTGCAGAGAAACTAAAGATCAAACAAGCGAACATGTAACTCCTGAAAGAAATTTTCTGTTCCAGACATAAAGAAAACCAAAAACATATCATAAGAATACATCTAAAGTGACCAGCCTGCAAATCTTTTCACAACAGAGAGAAGATGTCTGTGCACAAATTGCCCTGACATTGAAACACTTTGTCTTCCAGAGAGGTCAAAAAAACAAATTTAAAAGGGGAGTAGTTCATTGAGAGCGCTTTTGCTATTTGTGTTTAATAAACTGTTTATGAACCAGCACTCCAAAAGCCTTGGTGACACTTTTTGTGAATACCTTTTTCTATAAAACCCAAAAATAAAGAAACCCATCATACCCCTCTAAACAGTTGCGTTGCTGCGCCGCAGTGTGAGGATGGTCTGTAGCCTGCAGTGGTGGG